TTTTAAAGTGAAACTGGATGGCAAGAAAAAAAAAAGAAAAACCGTGAAGCCTACTGGTAGACCTTATATCAAAACGATATGCAACATACTCTAGATTAACAGGGGTAATAATGTGAGTGAAGGGCAAGATTAATGCGAAATGATAATTAGGCCGAAAAGCAGTTAAAAACGCAAGAAATAGGACTAAACAATGTTATGATTAATATAAAAGCACAATTAAAATTATTTTGAAGCAGTTTAACGTGAAGAATAATTTTACTTAGTTACGAAAGTTAAATTAGTATTTAAAGCAAGAAAGAACACACCGTAAATAGCAGAAGAATAAGCATCATTAGAGGTCAAGACACTAAGTTAAAAATGGCATTAACATACAATATTTACGAAATAATCTAACAATGTAATTGAATTCAAACTTGCATAAAATTGTCAGTTAGATTTTTTTCTTCTTTTTGACAGAGCCATGGATAGCGCCAGAGCCGGCGCTACCGGTTGGGCCACACCAGGCGACAACATTTTTAGAATTTAGAGAAGCACCGAACAGAAAACTTTAGGGATCGCAAATGTTTTAAATTTTGGGGAGGCACTGTGTAACACTGTACTCAGTGACGGCAAAATTTATAGAATTTAGGAAGGCACCGAGTAGCAAAATGAAGGAATCACAGAAATTGCACAGGGCAAGAAAATATTTAGCGGAATAGAGTTTTCTCTTTTTTTTCCCTTCTAAATCGATGATCTGTTAATGCAAAGCATCATCTTGACACTTAGCAGACTCACTGATATCACAAAAATGGAATTTACTATAGACACTCCTCTTAATAATGTATATATTCCGGACAGCGAACAGTTAACTTCCAAACATTATAATATCGTTTGCTCACTGCTTCTTATTCCACCTGTTCTTTTTCTTTTTTGTGTTTCCTAAAAAAAGCTTCATTTCACTCCAGTGGTTTCTGATAATGCAGCAAACTAAAAAGTTACTTATAGCATTCTCGGAAGTTTTTGTTATCAATTACTGAAATGTAAATGCAGCATTGGTTTTAATTATAAATGAAAATACTCCCAGATTAATTGCTCAGTTAATGGATAAAAAGAAAAGCATTTGAAACAAAGAGATAGTGTTTCTAGAAGAGTTGTATAGTAATGGTTAATAATTAAAAACACAAGTCAAGTTCATCTTTGTTAAATGAAATAAGCGAATTTTGTTTCCGTTAAAATTCAGGTTTTAACTAATATTATGATTCTGTTTGATTTCCTCCACCCTCAGATCGTTTCATAACCGTATTTATTTCTCTAAGGGAAGAGAAACTATACGTTTAATTGGGAGAAAACACGTTCAAAATAATCGTATATGTCAAAATAAAAGAATAAAATAATCGCGTAGTCTGTAATGTTACTTCTGGCGCCGAATTTAACAACGTAAGTCAAAGAGGATATTCTTGAAATAATTTTACGTATTAAAATTACCACTGAGGACAGTGTTAACATGAGACTGTTCTGATTCGAATGACGGCCACAAGTTGTCCTTGACCGTGACCAAGAGCGACTTCTGCAATGTGGCCTTGGAGAGCAGTTCGAGGTGCGTATGAGGTTACTGTACTTTGAGACTAGGAGCTGTCTGCTTTTAGGGTAGGGCTGTTTGTTGTAATGATTGATTCGGCCCTTACCTTTCTTAGAATAGCAATTTCAGCACCGCACAGTAATCTAAGCGCTCTTTAGTATTATAAACTATATTAAAACTGCAAGCAAATCACTCAGTCATAGCAGTTATGTATCTTCTCATTTTATTTGTATTATAAGTGGTTAAAAGCAAATGATAAGTAATTAGAATAAACGCAGAAATATTTAACCACCTTTTCTTTAATAGCTTTAACAGTATTCAAGGCTAGCTGTAACAATAATGGTTTGATTCGCAACTTCGTTATTTTACACTGCACATAAGAGTTTAATATGACAAGAGCCCTGTTTAATATGGAAATAATATGATCCCGGCTAAACTAATTCCCATTACTTAAACATGACTTGAATTCATAACTTTTTAAATAAAATTTTAAAGAGTTGGCCAGTACACTACTTGTTTTGCTATAAATCCCAGCAACTTTTAAAGTTGATGAATTACAGTAATTCTTTTATTTAGTTCATTCAAATTCTCATTTGTTTAAGAAATACAAATGCTCTCGGTATAATGCTTTAAATTAGAAAAATTTCACTAATATAAGCAGTTGGGAGAAAACTAAAGTCAAATAAAAACGAATTTATTAACACCCAAATTATATGAGTTTAATACGGATACATATAGGCTCTACTCTAAAATTTTTTGGTGTCCTAGGTGATCAGTGCAATTGGCGTCCTGTATAAATTAAGCATATTACTAATTAAGACGAAATTGTGCTCTTATTTATTTTTCACCTGTGAGAACAACTTAGTTGGCACTCTCCGTCAGCCATTATAGTGTGTTTGCGATTTTTCAATGGCTCTATTTAGAAAGTAAATGGATTCTAAGAACTCTGAAATTCGGATACTGATTTGCCAGCACGATCAGCTAGTACTTCAATTAGAAAACTCCACCGAAAGAAACTTTTTAAAAATAACCCAGGTAATACGAAATGATACTGCTAAGAAAAAAATGGCTTACGAAAGCACGTGGTAAAAAGGTTGCAACTAGCCACATTAACCAAGAACAAGATGTACAACAAGATAATGAGAGTGTAGGAAAAAGCCTTCTCATGGAACGGCTAGATGAATTAGGAGCGAGCAAAATTCTTGAAATTTTAAGAGAGAAAGACGTGAAGACGCCTAGATTATATGTAAGTGCATCGCAAAATGAAAAGGCTTGAGTGCCTGGGCTAGTTCCACCCGGAAATTTCAACTCGAAGACCGATGCTACCATTAACCAAGAGGAAATGGATGACCACATGAAAAGCCAGAAAGGAATGCAAAACTAAAAGTAACGAAAGAGGTTGAATTATACATAAGACGCACAAAAAAAAAAAAAAAAAAAAAAAAAAAAAAAAAAAAAAAGTCGCCTGCGCCTGAAATCTCTCAGGAAAATAAATTGGAAAATCTTGAAGAGCAAAAACTGAAGGCTAAGGAAACAAATGGGGATCTGTAGCAACCTGCAAATGAAAACTTGCAGTTACCATAGGTCTTCTGCTCCCGGCCGAAAGTCAGCTAGAAGCAGTTACTAGAACTCTCCCCCCAAAATGAAAGACTATTTTGTCGAATGGTATTAAGATCCTTCTGAAATCACAGGCTATAGGAGAAAAGGGCCATGTACTGCCTGTTCAGTGCAAGATATTGAATAGGTAAAGACCAGACAAACAGTTAAGGATTAGACTCCGACTTCACGGAGCAAGAAATTCAGGACAAAATAAGAAACCTAGGCATTCCAATCGACAAGGTGAAACAATTCACGCGGAAAAGAAATATTTTCGAACCTCCCCCCCCCGTTGTAATTCCTGCAAGTTCCCAAAAAACGATGGGAAAGTTCTTTAGTCTGAGGTAGCTCCCACATACAAAACTGGAATCTCTTCTTTCAAGTCAAAGAAGTATCTTGTACAGTGCTTCCGTTGCCAGCATTTTGAACATACCAAGTGGGTTATTTCAACAACTAAAATGATTAAAGTGTGTTAGAGATCACTTAACCTAGACGTGCCCTGTACGAAACGACGAGAAACCCACCTGCATTAGAGATTTCGGCAACTACCCAGCCTCGTCCAGATCATGTCCGGGATACCCTAGGCTCAGAAAGCCACAACAAAGACCACGAAATTGGAAAATTGGACACCAAAGTCCTATGCCCAAGACTGGAGTTCAGATCTGAGATTACCGTGAAATCTGCACAATAGTTACTAAAAAAACAGGAAAACGCTACTCTGGACATTATATTGTTACTCTTTTGCCGAATCTTACCCTTAGTTCACCTGCTCACCAAGATATAATCTGCAACTCAGATCATGGCTGCAAGAATCTCTGCAGCTTGCAGAAATGAGCAAAAATGCAACGACGATCCTATAGAAGTTTAAACAACAACGTCCCTATAGAAATATAGGTCGTTGAAATGATGGAAAGCTTCAATGGTGTAAAACCATTTTTACATCATCGAGCAGGGTGAAACATTTAGGTATGACAGATGCAGCCACGTGTACGGCGGTGATTTTCTCATTTTTTCGCAAGATGATATGCTTACGTCCAACAGGTGACGCCACATGTACAGCCTGGGAGTTACGTTTTCCCTAGGCCAAATGTGAACTTCTCCATAGCTCTTATAGCTCGAATATAGCTTATAGCTTCTGCATTTTTAATAAACTTCGATTAATTGTCACAGCTTAGATATCAAATTCCAATTCTTTAAGGGAATTTATTCGTAAGTGAAAATTCTCTAGCACTAGAAGTAAAGCATCGTACTCAGGCATTCGGGAATTTAACAAAGCTCCACAATCGAAATAGAGCCGACAACAGCTCGTTCCTAGGGATTTGAATTTGGATCTAATTACCAGTGGTTAACGATTTTATCGTTCAGCTGGGCATCATGGAAAATGCAGTAGGGGTATGAAAGTAAACGTGAATAAATGAAGCAAGAATATCCGCATCAAAAACTGGAAATAGCAATTTCGATTTTTTCTAATAAATTAGTGTTAAGAAAATTTAATAGGAGGATAATATTCGATGTTATTGATTAAATATACATTAAACTCTCGATATTAATGTTAGTTAAATTCTTAATATATTTTATTGGCGATAACTACTTTCAATAAGAGTTATTTAAGTCAGTACGGAAGCTTTTTTAATGCTTATCTATAGGAATGTTGGTCACCTAAAATTCTGTAATTTCGTTCTTACTCTGAATCTTCAACATGTGTTATGCAAAGATGATATATAAAACATACAAACATATCAAAAGCTGTACAGGTATCTAGAATATATTATAAATAATTACTACGTTACATAGTATTATAATTGTTAATAAATTATAAAACATATTTTTAAAAGTGTACACTCACCTCTGTATGATTATACGGTTTATAATTAGGCTTAATTTTCTTCAGAAGAACTTCACTATCATACAGAATATCTTCGTCAGTGTCCATACGTCTAGGTAATGCATTCATCAGCTCCAAATAGCAGTCCGAATAATTTTCACAGTTCCCAACTAATCTCTTTTTCCAGTTCTTCTGTGTACAAGATGATTCCAGAGTAAGGAGATTGTTCAGCATTATCACGGAAATTTTAATAATATCTTGATTTGATGTCGTAGCATTCGTGACGTTATAATTCTCAAGATCTGGGATAGGATTTTCCCGTTCACTCAGCAACATATTCTGGATACTCCTCGAAATCAAACACTGCGAAAATAAGAAAATAAAGAAATGAGTAAGCGAAAAGTGCAACCGGTCAGATTACTTAGCCAAAGACCAAATATCATCAAAGTCGAATCAGCCGATTTACCTCAAGTTAATACTATCTAATGCTGGTTGCCGGATTCTGTGCCTAAATGAGTGAAAGCAGACATTACAGGGCAGGAGGTCCTAAGTTCAAATCCCAGGCCTGGCTCACATCTTTGTAAAGACACCCAACTAAATTAGAAGTTGGAGATGCAGGGAGCTCATTCTACTGTCTTGCATTTGACTCATATAAATCTACCCCAAGTAGAAAAAGGAGACTTTAGATCCCAAACCGAACGCAAGAGACCGCATTGGGATACAAACTCCAAGTTTAGATCCCTGCTCTTCTTTTTTCACAGACTACCCTTTCCCATCAAGATGTTCGAAGTCGGCAATTACACTGCTATTTTCTGTTTAAGAAATGAAACTGAGATTTTTACGATGTAGTCTGTTGACATATAGTCTTTCGCTCCGTGATCTGTCAAGTTGTGTCTTTAACATATTCGCTAAAATTTGAAGTTTCGTGTCTCTGAAGAAAGAAAAAAATATTAGACAAAGGTTAAAGGTTTTGAATGAATTTTAAATTCATTTCTTGCATAAATTAAAATTCATTATTAGGAAAATATTTGTTACAGTAAGGATTAACACGACACTAGTACAAGCTAATCATCTGCACATCCTCATGTTTTGCCAGTAAGATGTTCACAGCGCTTTCTAGCAACAAATGCGAATACAGTTACGCGATTGGTGGAATGGGCGAAAAGCACGTAAGTCTGATTCGCATTTAATTCTGCAATGTTACAGTTAGTTACATGAGTTACAGTTAAATAGACCAATAGCTTAAAAGCAGTTGTTTAGAAGAAATAAACGTATGCAATAAAGAACGCAATTTTCAAATGTATTAATATAAATATGCTTCAGAAAACGGAGTTATTTATATGTGACAAAGGCTTCATAAAATTTATCAAACTTTTCTAAAGGTTTAGTTTGTATTTTATCACACAATATTTCTTCATAGCAAGTTAATAATTTTTTATCCATAACCTTGTAGTTAGAATGCTTTCCTTGTTAAAATTTATGTTAAAACGAGGCCTGGTAAGTTTATAATTGTCATATGAATTTCTGGTGTATCTGGATCTGAGGTGTCGGCTTCTCCAGTAGCAATGCGTTTATATATCTCTATTACCTCAATGATTGTGAGTTCTTTGCAGTGTGAGTACTACAATTTCCTGACAGCATTGCTGTCAACTTTAAAATCTAACTGCCGGTCAAGATTGACAGCATTAAGTGATATGATCAGTTTCTGGCGTTATATTCATCTTGCTTTTGAAAAAAGGAGTATTACAGATTTTCTTCCAAACACCATTAAGATTTTAGGGGAATTTCATTGCAAGACAGTCCAACGAAAACCGGAGCATTACAGTAATGAGGCGAAAACAGATAACACTATAATCAATTACTTTAAAATAGGAAATCCAAAGTAATTTTCCGCCACGTGATTTGCCTCGTAACCAAGGAAATAAATAACAACTGCAGGAAAAAGGTCGAGTAGTTTAATTTTTTCCCAGCTTAATTTCCGTTAGCGTGTTTCTCTTCATGAAAAAATACTCAAATGAAGGCTGACTTGAACTATAGTCTCAGACAACTTGGAGAACATAAATGCTATGCGGTGGTGACGACACGAGTTTCGATATCAAATGGGAGAGAGAAACTGGCAACGGCCTTGAAGCGCTTACTTTAAAGTAACAGACTATAGTAAGTGAAAACCACAGAAAGAAAGTAAAGAGTAAGCAAACGGTCACTAAGTAAAAAAAGTAATAAACACACAAAGGAAAATAAATCGATATTAGATTGTTTTCGATACGATGAATCAATCTATCCGAATTGTTCAGCTACAACTTCACATTTATAACTCAAATACAAAGATGGAAATAGTGACAAAGACAATATCAGTGTCTAAATCACAGAGTCACAGTTTGATAGTTATAAGCATATTATTACAATCAAAGATTTTCCCGTTGCTTAACTACACACGAGAGCTCCAAGATCTTCATTCAATTTAACAGAACGCATATGGGAGTTAACAAAAATCACAGATACTGAAAAATAATGAAAACAAGTGATGATTGTTGTAAAAAATGTCAACCGAATAAAACTAATATTAACTGCATAACAAGCGGGGCTTAAATTAAGCAGGAGTCTTCTTCTCAGTTTTTAAGTGAAATCGTTATTTTGTGCTGACATAAGATCGGAGGGTGAAATAAGACTCTTCGGTACATCCTTGTATATTGAATAAATTGTGATTACCTGTCGGATGGCCCAAGATAAACCCAGAGCAAGTAAAGTCTCCCATGTCCGGTTCGGTTTACCTCAAAGCCACCCATATCATACCGATTTACAGTTCCTGCGTTCTTCACTTGCTTTGGCTCGGTTTCTCTTGGGCCGCTCGGTAATTAAGCTCAATAAACTCATTAAAGATCTAACATTAAACAATAAATTTAACTCAATCTGTTATTATTGCAATATTTTGTTCAGCAGTTAATAAAACTATTACTAATAGCAGTTAATGAATGTTTATCCGTTTCACTTTTCCTGGAAAGAGCAAAATACGCCGGAAAATTTAAGCAACTGAGAAAAACTGTACTGAAGTTTGACTCTTTCAGGAAGAGTAAATGTATTGGCTGTAGCCGTCTGATCGAGAAAAATTGAGTTGTACTTGCATGGTAAAGAAGATTTTAAGTGAATTAGAAGCCAAAGTAAAGATGCATTTAATCTGAAAGCGAAGAGTAGTGCTTATAATTATTTCCTCATCCTATACGGTTATACTCTTATTTTAATTTACCAAACATCTTAATTAATTTAAATGATCAAATATATCAGTAAAACCGCAGAGACTGTCAGGCGACTTTTCGTCCCATTTATTTTCAAACTAAAAATATAACATCTCAAGTAGAAGTTTAAAATAAAATTAATTTATTACTACGGTCGACCTGACGTTTACACAAACGCAAAGTTTTACAAAAACTGAATTCCACGAACTTGTAGGTAACCCGAACACATGTTCAATTATGCGAAATGCAAAATCAACATTGCTTAACTAAATCTTAGTTCGCGCCTAATTGTTTGCGAAGCCATAGCGGAAGTAGAAATTTTAACCGATAAATTATATTCAGCACTAGGGAAACTATACAGAGTGACGGTCGGCTTATATTGTCAAGCGCTTTCTTACTTAAAACGTGTACTTTAAATAATTTGCATTCTGGTGTAAATTGACGAAAGCGGATTTCAAAGTAAAGCTAAAATATTAAGATAACTAGGTTAATTTGCTTTACTATATTTAAATTTTATTGTATTTTAATTTAATTTTTTTAAATTACCGTTAATTTAGCTTAATTTGTTAATATTTTTATTTATATCTTTACATTTTGTTGAATTTAAAGTATGCATTAATTATTGTTTTATTTATTTTTGTTCAGCTCTTCTGAAGGTCTTCCATAAGACAACATATTTGTCCATAAGTGCATATAACCCATAAGCCTTGTAATTTTACAAATTAAGCCCTGCTAAGAGGACTATCTAATCCGTCGATCTCAGCGTGCTTTTGAGTTGATTGCCACCAATCGACCTTCCATATTTTAACTCAAAACTAAAATTCTACTCTCAGCTTAACGTTAACCTAATGTCACATAAGTTTCAAAGCGAGTGATGGATAGCACAAAAATAAAGAACTCACAGACAACTAAATGACAAATAACTAAAAGCTTATTATGGCCCACATTTTTTTTTTTTTTTTCAAATTTTAGATCGTATTGTAACATAATTTTGTCAACTTCATTAAATTATTATTTTATATTTTTCCTGTAAACTTACGCATAGCTACTTCCTACTAACTTATGGATAGCCAGTTGGAAGTAAGTTACCGTCATGGAAAGCTCAACTAGGCTTGCCTTAAGATACATGCAGTCACTGATGTAAGTGACTGCATATATCTTAAAAATTGCATATGTGTCAGAAATAAGTTGGATGCGAAAAAAAAAAAAATGAGAATATTACAAAGATGACTAAGGGTTCACACACACACAAAAAACACACTTGCTATATGATGTCAGTTCTTAAAACAATATAGTTAGTTATCGTTATTCGGGTGTTGTCGTTCTTTCAAAAACCCTCAGATTTGACGTCATTCGCTTATGAATCGTTACGCCCACAAATCTGCTTTGAATTCGACGCCATGATTGAGGTTTATAAGCTTGACTACTTTGACAAGATACTGGACAGAAATAAGGCTTTGGAATATCTATTTTCTAATTGCGAGTCAAAGCACCAAGTTATAACCAGACACAGAATTCTTATTCCAGTTGCCATAATTGTAATAACTGTCGCAGTTATTTGATGTCAAAATTTTAATTAGTAAGTCCACATTTTACTTAGGTTGTAGTTTCGTTTGTTTAGCAATTTTATAAAGGAGCGCTATATTCTAATAATATGCCACTCCTTTAAAAAATTACTGCGGAAACGACACAATAAATTAAACTAATTAAGTTACAAAACACACCACCTACAACGCCTCTAAATTAGAAACCCCCCAATAAAATAATAGCTTCTAATATTTCTACTTAAATATTTTGCGAACTGACTATATGAGCGGTTACTCCCTTATGATGTATTACTAGCCGCTCAATAAGTATGTTGGTTGAAGAAGATTACTCCCACGCAGAAAAAATAAGCTTTTACTTGAAAGTGATGTGAGAAACAGCAATGGAAAAGTTAGAAAACCACTAAGGTTTTAAAAAAAAAAAAAAGAACTTCAGATAGTCTAACAACTAAAAGGAGATTTTACAATTAAATATGCCGTTGCCAACTGATAAAACTAAATCTTTTTAACTAAAATTATAATTAGCTGAAAAATAATTTGAATTATGAAAACTCACAGCAAAAGTTCTTTTCAGCATTATTTGCTG